ACAGAATACACATTCTTATCAGAAGCACATGGGACTTTCTCCAGAGCAGACCATATGCTAACCCATAAACATAAATAGATGCAAAAGAATTGAAATTATACCAAACATATTATCAGAAAAATCAATAGCAAAAAAACCCAAAGAAATTATGCAAACTCATGGAAACTAATTAATATCTCCTTAAATAATCAATGGGTCACAGAAGAAATTAAGGAAGAAATTAGTTCATAGAATCAAACAATAATGTCAGTACACATATAAGAACCGGTGGGACACAACAGCCATGAATGTCCACATCAAAAAAACAGAGTTCAAATGAATAACCTAATGATTACACCTAGAAAAAGGTCCTAGAAAAACAAGATCAATTCAAATACAAAGCCAGTACAAGGAAGGAAATTATAAAGATCAGAGAAAATATTGATGAAATTGAGACTTTAAAAAAATACAAACAATTAATGAATTATAGAGCTGGTTCTTTGAGAGAATAAACAAAATAAACAAAGTCCTACCCAATCTTACCCCCCAAAATGAAGGAAAAGACTCAAATAAATGCAATTAGAGATGAAAAAGGAAAAGTCACAAAAGACTCTGCTGAAACCCAGATTATTAACTACTTCATAAAATGGAAAATTCAGAAGAAATAGATTCCTAGATTCATAAGAACTCTCAAAAGCTGAATAAAAAAGATATTAAAGTCATGAATAATCCATATCAGGAAATAAAATTTAAGTAATTTAAAAAAGACTACCATTTAAGAAAAGATCAGGTCCTCATGGATTCACTGCTGAATCCTACAAGAATTTTAAGGAAGATCTTATACCAATACTCCTCATACTCTTCAATGAAACTGAAAGGGAAGGAGTACTCTCAAATGTCATTTCTGCAAGCTAGCATTACCCTGCTTCCAAAAACAGACAAGGACCCAACAAGAAAAGAGAACTACAGGCTAATCTCTTTAATGAACATAGAGGCTAAAATCCGCAACAAGGTATTGGCAAACAGAATGCACCAAATTATCAAAAAGATCATACCTCATGACCAGGGATGCAAAGATGTTTCAACATATTCAAATGAATGAATGTCATACACCACACAAATAAAAGGAAGAGGGAAAATCACATGATCATCTCAATTGAGGCAGAAAAAACCTTTTATAAAATCCAACATCTATTTATGATTTTTAAAAATGAAGAAAATAGGTATAGTAGGATCTTATCTCAACCTGTAAAGCATTTATGACAAACAAATGGCCAAGATCATATTAAATGGAAAGAAGCTGATAGCTGTCTCTCGGAAATCAGGTACAAGATAGGGATGGTTGTTATAGCCACTCTTGTTCAATATAGTTCTTGAAACATTAGTCAGAGCAATCAGGCAAGAGAAAGAATAAAAGGAATACCTGTAGGAATGGAAAAGCCAAATTATCATTATTTGCAGATGACATGATTCTCTACATAGAAGACCCCAAAAATTCCACCAAAAGACTAATAACCAGGTACCAGGGATCTAGCTCAGTGGTTCGGTGGCCTGCCTTGCTATAGCAAGGACCCGAGTTCAATCCCCGGTAGCAAAAGCAAAACTAAACAACAACAACAAAAAAAGACTAATAACCAAATTTAGAACTAATAACCAAATTTAGTAATATAGCAGTATACAAAATCAACACACAAAAATCATAGAATTTCCCTGAGAAAATATACTAAAGAAGTATGTTTTACAATAGCATCAAGAAAAATTAAATACTTAGGAATTGACTTAACCAAGGAACTGAAAATCTTCTACAATGGAAATTAGAGTACTCTTAAAAAGGACATCAGAAAATGTTCTTGGACAGGCATAACCAATATAGTCAAAATGGCCATACTTCTCAAACTGCCCAGAACTGATTTATAAATTTAATGCAATCCCAACCAAAATGCAAATAGCATCTGTTATGGCTCGTGTTTAGAAGTTCCCCAAAAGACTCATGATTTTTCTAGGTGGCTGACCCTAGAGTATGTGATTGATTCATGGTGGGGCTAGGCCTGAGGGCACAAGGATTAAGGGCATAAGTGCTATCTGCCCTAAGTAGTCTGGATAAGATAAAAGGGGCAGAAAAATGCTGTTAAGGTCTTTTTGTTGCTTTTGCTACCATCTGAGTGCCATGAATCATTTCTCCTTTGTGATGCCCCTCTGCGGCATGTCACCGTGCCTTGGAGCCAGCCAATTATGTACTGAAACCTCTACAAACTAAAGCTAATAAACCCTTTCCCCTTTAACTTTGGGTATGGGGATTTTGTGTTAGCAATGGGAGAAAAGTTAACTAAGACAGCATCCCTCACAAAACTAGAGAAAACAGTCCTAAAATTCATATGGAACCAAAATGACATAAAATAGCAAAAGCATTTCTAGGCAACAAGAGAGAGACAGGAGTCATAACAATCTATGACTGAAAGTCATGCTATGAAGCTACAATTATAAAAATAGCATGGTATTGCCAAAAACAGACATGTGGATCAATGGAACAAAATAAAGGATGAAGAAACAACTCCAGGCACATTAAGCTACCTGATCTTTGACAAGGAGGCCAAAAACTTATGCTGAAGGATGGTAGCTTCTTGAACAAATGGTGCTGAGAAAACTGTCTATCCATGTGCAGAAGATTGATCCTAGACCTATATCTCTCACCATGTACTAAATTAAAATAAAAATGGATCAAAGATCTAAATATTAAAACAGAAATATTCAACCTGCTGGAAGATAAAATTGGTAAAACTCTTGAAGACATAGGCATAGGCAAGGATGTCCTGAACAGAACCTCAGTTGCACAAGAAATAATACCAAGAATCAACAAATGGGACCTTATCATATGAAAAGCTTCTGCACAGCATAAGAAAAAATCAACAGAGTGAAGAGAAAACCTATAGAATCGGAAACTTTGCCAGCTATTCATCAGAAAACTAATATATAGAATATATAAAGAACTAAAAATAAATAAATATATATATAAGCCTCTCAAACAAAACACCCAATCAAAAATGGGCAACCGAAAAGAATTGTTACTTCTTAGAAGAAAAGAAGTAAAGATAACTAATAAATATATGAAAAAATGTTCTACATCTCTGCCCATTAAAGAAATGCAAATTAAAAAAACACTGAGATACTATCTGATTCCAGAAAGAATGGCTGTCATCAAGAAATCAAATAATAACAAATGTTGGCAAGGCTACAGGGGAAAAAAAGGAAACTTCTACATTGTTCGTTGGAGCATAAAATAATACAAACACTGTGGAAATCAGTATGGAGATTCATCAAAAAACAAAAAGTAGAAATTCTATTTTACTAGCTATTCCTCTCCTAGGTATTTTGGCAGAAGACTTATAGGCATCATATTACAGTGACACACGTATTCCCATGTTTATAGCAGCACAATTTACAATACCTAAATCTTGAAAGTGGCTTATATGCCCATCAATGGATATAACAGTCTATATGCCCACCAATGCATAAAGAAAATGTGGCATTTATACACTTGGTACCACTCTGCAATAAAAAAGAATAAAGTTGAGTCATTTGAAGGAAAATGGATGCATCTTGAGACCATGATGTTAAATGAAACAAAGCAGATATGCTAAATATTGTGTGGTTTCTCTTATATAAGAAATCCAAATATAAAGAGCAAAATAAAAGATACATAATAGAAGAGGGGAAAAAGAAAGTTTCCTAGAGGAGTTCTTGCTTCATTAAAGCATTGCAAGGGCTGGGGATTTAGCTCAGTGGTGCTCTGCTTGAGCACAAGGTTCTGAGTTCCACCCCTGGTACTGGGAAAGTAAATAAATAAATGAATAAATAAAACATTGTGATTTTACTTCTGCATTTGTGATGTTTGTAGTATTTGACAACTTTTTAAAGTGTATAAGTTTTAGATTTCACAAACCAGGCTTCTTTCTCTGTTCGGGATAATATAACTTTGTATTTTTGTCAAATAAATAAAACTTTGGATGTGAGGAAAGGGGACAGATCAAGAGATGGAAGAAGTGGAGAGAGAATGGACGGGAAGGTGATGAAAAAATGAATTAAGATGTGTAATGTATGTGTGCCAACTCCCAACAAGTAGTGTAAACATAATGTGCTGAAAAAGTGTACTAATAAATAAATACAAATAAACACAAACTGCCTCTTACCAAAAACTGTTTTGAGAGAAAATAAAAATGCTACTACACGGGCCGTGGTGGAGCACATCTGTAATCCCAGCACTCGGGAGGCTGAGGCAGGAGGATCACTGTGAGTTTGAGACCAGCCTGGGCTGCATAGTGAGTTCCAACTACATAGTGAGACCCTGTCTCAAAAAAAATAAAATAAAATAAACCAAAAAATAAATAAATAAAAATGCTACTACAGAGTAACAAAATATGAGAGAATTATTTCATATACCACTTAATTTATTTCTATTTAGATTCACCTCAAATGCCATATGAATCCTCAATAAGTCTTTTCTAAAATTGTTTCTTTAGCCGGGGATTTACCTCAGTGGTTCTGCTACCTGCCTCACAAGCACAAAGTCCCAACTTTGAACCCCGGTATCAAGAATAAGTAAATAAATAAAATTATGTCTTTAGACGTATATCTAACTATGTATGTCCACTAAAACGTGTCGTTTACCCTATTTTCAGGTTCACCTTCCTTAAAATTCTGCCAGTGTTGGGTCAAATATCTTTTTTTTTTTTCATTGAGTTTATTGGTATTTTTCAGGTATACAGTACAGTTACATTCATCATTGGGATCTTGTACCTTTACATGACAGATCTTGGTTCTCAGCAAATATCTTAATATACAACACATGAAACATTCTGAACACTGTCCATTTTAAGAGAAATACAAAAGTGCTGCTTTCTTCTCATTGGAATCTACAAGGCGTTAAGTAGGGGAACCCAAAGGTTAAGAAACACTACGCATCCCAGGATACCTTGCGACTATCAGCGGCCACAACTCCCAAAATGCATTGCTTGCCTTGTAGCTGGGACTTGTAGTTCTTCCATGTTGCACCAATTCCAACGGGGAAGGCGGTGGTTTCGTGCTCGGCTCCAGGATATTAGGCGTAGCTTTCCACCTTTAGCAAAGCGAAAACACTTCAGATCTCCGGGTGGGTTGGATTCTTTGTCTCATCTATCGGTTTAACAAAAGGTAAGTCAAAAGGGCTTCAGGGCCCAACCCCATATTTCGAAGAGTGACCTAGGTCTGGAGAAGCCATTTGTCCCTAAGTCCTCTCCGTAGCAGCCGCCGCCCATCCCTCTTTGTGTGCCTCGGAAGCCGCGGAGGAGCTGGTGACGACAGTTGGCTTTGGAGCTTAAACTGGGGACTTTACTGGGAGGTTGCAGGTGAGAGGACGCTTCCCCATCCCGCCACCGGACAGGTGAGTTGAGGAGGGCCTCCCCTCCAGGCCCTCCTGCCTGCTGGGCCCACGTCGGAACTGGGAGAACGGCTTGGCAGTTCCTGCTGACAGCGCCTGCCAGCCGGCTCTGCAAAGAAAAGGCGAAGGGAGCCGAGGCGGTGACTCAGTGCAGCCTGGGGCGGGGAGTCCAGTCCCTTTTCTTCTTGACCCTCGTGGGCACCTTGGGGAGCCCTAAGCCTTGTCAGGCGCCCCTGGTCCCTTTCCCCGAACGCCCTAGCCTGGACCGCGCCCGCTTGGCCGAAAGCCGGTGAGAGAAAGTTGCTGCTTTTTGCCTTGCTCCATTTTACGAAGGGAAGACCTTACTACTTGGGTTGATAGCGTCTCCGCTCACCTTGCGTGTGTTGGACAGTCGCTGATGTGGAAGGGTTGTAGCCTGGAGTTCTAGAGACTTTCTCTTCCCTGGAATTTTAAGTCCTGGAGCAAAGGCTCTGGCCTGCGGATGAGAGGGCCCGTCTGAGCTGTGGCTCAGCCCGACAAACTTTACTGTTGGTGTTTATGTAGGTTACTTTAACCTACATAAAAATTGGCATTGGCATGTGCGTTACACTTGATGCTGAACAAAAATACCGTGCCTAGCCTATGGTGCAGTTAGGTAAGGAAGATCTCAGCAGCCGATAGTGTGAAGCTTTTTACAGATGTGTAGAGGGCCGAAGAAGAAACGGCCCTCGTTTTCTTTTAGTTTGTTCAAGTGACTCAGTACTGTATCTGTACTTAAGGGTCAGCCACGCCAACTTTTCCCCGTTTTTGTATTCTTGAAAATTTAACTCACGTTAGTCTTTATGGAACATTTCAACTGAAATTTCCTTTATGCATTTATTAGTAGATAGATTTTACTTCTTAACTAAGTTAACTTTATTCAGATTTAATAATTGTGCTTTTAAAGAGATTTGCTCATGAAGTTTTTCAGAAGTTATTCTCCCAATTTCCTGACCATTTAACACTTAAGCTGTGCAGACATTGTCAGAAATTGATCATTACATAATAAATCAATAGTTTATGAGCTGGGTAGCTCGGAGGCTGAGGATGGACAGTTCCAGCTCAGTCTGAACAACTTAGCACCGCAGCCAAACCCTGCCTTTAAAAAAAGGGGGTGAGGTGGAGATGTCGCTGACCATGGGGTTCAATCCTCAGTACTGCCCCCCGCAGAAGTTAGCAATAATAATACAAAATACATAGAGAGTACCTGGTTCCTAGTTCATGCTCAGCTCCTAAGTTACTTTTTCAATTAAAAAAATTCATCACTGCTTCCTAAAACTGAAAATGAAGTATATTATGGTGCTTATAGTGATTTTTTTTGAAGCTCTGTAATTCTGTCTACCTTTCCCATTAATCATTTAGTCAGTGTCATATAATGTTAAGGTCACTATGCTGGGATGCTGTGGAGATAGCAAAAATGACTAAAGCATAGTCTGATTTAGAATAGATTACATTCTAATATAGAACCTTTTGAGAGTCTTCACAAACATTGTACTAAAAGTGCAAGATGAGGTGTTATTGCAGAGTAATAAAAGGTCTTTTGATTTGATTGTTAATGATGGTAGCTGTATTTTGCTTACCTTTACCATTTCTAATTCCATGGCACATAGAATTTGTAGGAATTTTCTGTTTGATATATTGTTTTTATAAAGTTTCTAGGAATGCGTGCAAAACTGTTAATAGTTTTGTTTGGTATTGTAGCTTAATGCCAGCTGGTATCCTCTGTTTTAAGTGCTAGCTTTTTGGGGAGTGAGGAGGGTTCCAGTGATCAAACTCCGGACCTTGTGCTTGTGAGACAGGCAGCAGAACCACTGAACTAAATCCCTGGCCCTTAAGTGCTAGCTTTGACTTCTGGCTCTCGTGTTAAATTTGGGCATGTGAACATTAAAGAACTTACTGTGTGTTAGCTCCTGTGCTCACACTGGGAAATAGTTTTTACATCAGATGTTTTCATACAGTAATTTTTCTCAGCTTAGTAGTGTGTATATGTTTTCATTATTATTTTTTTAATTTATTTTTTGAGACAAAGTCTCCTAAGTTGACCAGGAGACACCCAAACTTTTGATCTTCCTTGCCACAGCTTTCCAAGTAGCTGGGCTTACAGACATGAGCCACCACACCTGGCATGTTTCCATTATTTTAAAAGTACAATTAGTACTACCTTTAGGTAGCATCAAAATACATAACTTTTTTCTTTCTTTCTTTTTTAGTTTTATTTATTTGGGGTTTTTGGTTTTTTTTTTTTTTTTTTGAGATAGGTTCTCACTATGTAGTCCAGGCTGGCCCCGAACTCAAGGTGATCCTCTTGCTTCAGCCTCCCATGTGCTGGGAATACAGGCATAGGCCACCACCATACCCAACAGGACTGTTCTCTTCTTGAAGCACTAATTTTTTTGTGTGTGTGCTACTTGTACCCATGTAATGATGATTGTATGCTTCTTAGGGTCACAAACATGTCAGACAAAAGTGAATTAAAGGCTGAGTTGGAACGGAAGAAGCAGCGGTTGGCCCAAATCAGAGAGGAAAAAAAGAGAAAAGAAGAAGAAAGGAAGAAAAAAGAAGTATGTTTCATTATTTAAAAATAAACTCAATATGAAATAATTGGTTTATTTCAAGTACTTATGTCTTTATGTAATAATTTTAAAATAGTTAAAATCTAAAATCTATCAGTTGTGACTGCAAATACAGCACTATAAGTGAATCTTACTTTTTAGAAGCCAGATATAGAAAAATGACAAAACTGGTGACTTTATGTGTGATTTTTTTTTTTTAACTGAATAAAAGTATTTCATTTAGGATAATACTTTTCAAAGATTTCATTTCTGGATGTTCAATTTACGTATGTGATCCTCTAGGGATATTTTAAAATAAGCATCTACATTGTAATAGCTCCTAAGATGGGGCATATATCATAACTTAGTTTAGACTTTGAACTATTTGAATATTTTGCTAGCCTGATCTAATAATTTTGTCAGAATGCATAGTACTAATGGCAAACAGAAATATATATAATAGAAAATTGATTAGATTTGTACTTTGTCTTTTATCATGAGTTAGTCATTGAAATATATTTACTGAGCTATATTTATAGATCTATATTTATAGATCTGATAGTACTATAAAGGTGAACCAGGTTTTGGGGTTTTTTTTTTTCCAGTACCAGGGATCAAATTCAGGACTTTGTACTTGAAAGACAGGTGCAGCACCACTGAGCTAAATCCCCAGCCCTAACAAGGTATTTTTGATACTGATTTTGCTAAAACATTTCATCATATAGAACAAATATACATTGGCCCTGACTTGGAGATATTTTACTTGTTCCTGCATTGAAACATATTTATCCCCATGGAAAATCTTTGTTGTGGTTGCTATTTGTTTTTTTGAGATAGGGTTTCACTATGTAATCCAGGCTGGTTTTAAACTCGTCATGTAACCTAGACTGGGCCTCGAACTCCCTAGTGCTATGCACTAGTCATGCACCACCACACCTGGCTCCTATGGAAAATCTTAAAGACTGATTATGAATACTTTTCCACAGTTAAGTTTTAAATGGACAATGTGAGGTAGTTTGTCCTAACTGTGTCTTTGGTGCCAGTTAGGACTACTGGAAATCTAGAGACTAAGAGAAAAATCTATGGCAGAAAAATCAAGGCACAATTTATGCACAACACTACTATGATGGTATAATGAGGCCTATAATGGAAGAATGTGCTAGTTTATTCTGAACCTTTCTGTGATAAGGGTATAGCTCTACATTAGGTATTTGATCAAAATCTAACTGACAGAAGCATGGTTCTGGCTGGTTGAGCCTTCCTAAATAGTATCCATCGCCTTAAACATTTCAATGCTGAGAGCAAATTTGATTTTTGTTTTCCAGCAATAAGTGATCTCTAAGGGATATCTATTTCAGTATCACTATCTAATTTAAAGTTTATAAAATATTACAAGAGATAATTCAATAGTAATAAGCAGTGGGATAGTAATAGCATCAGCTTGGTAACATAGCCCCTTTTGCTATTCTGATTAAGTTACAGCAATATCAGAGAATATTACGACTAACCAGATTCACTCAGTATGTAATAGTTATCTAGTTGACATCATTTGAAGTACATATATAGAACTTTTCCCTTAAAAGCTTAGATTTTATTTGAGATGTTTTGGATGATCTAAGAGCGCTGAGGTTTATCTAGTTGATTAATTAGAAGATTTTGCCAAAACTCTACGTGGCTGAAATAAAAGTTGCTAATATTTTCATAACAAAAAAATGTTTTGTGCTCTGCAAAAGTGAATTTTAATTTTAACAAAACTCAGCTATGTATTTGTATTATTAAAATAAGACCTGACAGCTGGGCACAGTGGCATCCACAATGTAGTCCTGGCCACTTGGGAGGAGAAGGCAGCAAGTTCAGTTGAGTCCAGGATTCTGACGCTAGCCTGAGTAACAGTGAGACTGTCTGTTTCTCCACCTCTGGCTGGGCAACATCCCCAGCCCTTTTTTTATTTTTATTTTGTACATGTGCTGCCGAAGCGAGCACTTATTTTTTTATTTTTTTGAAACAAGATCTTGATAAGTTGCCTAGGCTGGACTCAAGCTTGTGATCCTCCTGCCTCAGCCTCTCAGAGATTGAATCTTAAGGATTGAAGGCATGTACCACCACACCTAGCTACCCTGTCTCTTAAATTAAGACGTAGTTTAACAATAAAAAACTTTAGATGAATTTTTCATAAATATTCTCTACCCACAGTTGCATAAATACAGTGAAGATTTTATCTACAAGTTTGAGATGTTCAAGCTTTGTCAGCAAATCATTGTCCATTTACTGAAAATGTGTTAGTTCTTAAATAACTTTACTTTTTTTCCATAGTGTTATAACATTTATTAGTAAACTTTTGTGCCACTTGGAAAGGGGGATGATTTCCACCCTTCCTGTCCATGCTCATCAGTTTTATACTGTAGAGCAGTGGTGCTGAACCCATGGCGCATGTGCCACATCCGGCTGTTTGTATCACTGAAAGCTCTATAAAGTTTGCTGTCACTGCTGTAGAAAATTCAAATCTGACTGCAATTTTGAATTTATCTGTTAGGAAAATTTTTGTGGAAATTCTTGGATTTATTTAAACATGTATCAATTTAGTACATATTACTATTAGATAACTCTTAGGAATAACTATAAAAATTATATTTCACTCAAAATGTGCAGTGTAGGCACTTTATATTTTAGCAAATAGAAATGTTTTATGCCATATGTAAACTTGAGTTTTTAACTTAAAAACTTTAGACCGATCAGAAGAAGGAAGCTGTTGCTCCTGTTCAAGAAGAATCAGATCTTGAAAAAAAAAGAAGAGAAGCTGAAGCATTGCTTCAAAGCATGGGGCTAACCCCAGAATCCCCTATTGGTAAGGATAAGGATATATCCATTTATGAGAGATAGGAATATTTCTGTTGAGCTCAGACATGTCTAAGATGAGTTGACTTCATATATTTTGCATATTTTTGTTGTTTGTGTCTTAAAACCATTAACCTTATCATTTATTTGGAATTGTACATGGTTATTTTACTTGTTCAAAAGGTATGTAAGATTATTTATATTTATTAACATATGAAACCACTGATTGACTTTTCTTACTAAATCAGAGATTTATTGAGCAAGTTTTATGTGCCATATTATGGTAAGCTCAAATATGAGTGTTTCCTAATCTTAATTATGTATTTCTTTCTGTAGGTTAGAGAGAGATATAATAACTTAATATTCAAAGGAATGGGAGTGGGAGGCAAAGCTTGTAATGTTCTACTATCAATACTAATAGAGAAATCACATGGATAGCTCATTTTGGCAATGATTTGACTTAAATCTTTTTTTGGGGGTTATTCATTTTGATACCTGCACTAGACCAAGATGCTGACATAGTGGAGTTATGGAGAACATCTAGCCACATATCGGAAAACATTTGATGCTTGCTTAAAATGGGTCTGTGCTGTAACACATAGGTCTGTGTCTGTAACAATAAATACTATTGTTACATAGTATTTATTTTAGTTTGACACAGCCTTTGTCCTTTAGGGACCAACATTTTACAGTTAGTTTGTGGGCTAATTTCATCTAGTCCAGAGGACAAATACCAGTTTTCCTCTTGTGAAGCTGCAACAGAACCGTTCTTAGAGCTGATATTTCTGAAAGATTTCAAGATGAAAAAGCTGGTAACTTTCATGGTCTACTACACTATTACTTCTTTCAGTTTATATTCCTTTTCCATACTGGTAGGAAAAGACTGAGGTATATTAATATTTTTATATCTTTAATAAGCTTATACTCTTGGTATTGCAATTTTAAAAGTAAATAAATCAGAACACTTTTTATCCTAGTAACTGAACTACTTGTTTATCAGTTGTTACTGTTAGTTTTGTATTCATTGAGTGATTTTTTTTTTAAATTCCTGAGTCACTGTCTTTTTTTCTTCTGTAAGACATCTTTATTCTTTTCTGTTCTTTTCAGGATATCAGTTTCACTGAATTCACTTGTTTATGTTTCTTAATTTATGGAACACCTCCATTGTTACTTTTTGAAAGATTGTTCTTTAGGAGTGTGTTTTGTGTGTGTGTGTGTGTGTTTTACTGGCTTTTCCCATCTCCAACTTCATTCTCCTTCTCACTCATGTATTAAATGCTCTCCTTTGCATTTTTTAACATATATGCATTCTTTAACATATATGCATTCTATCCTCTATATTGCATTTTTTCAAGATTTTATGTATCTGTGTGTATATACATTTTTTATGTCTCATTCAGTTTATTCCATGTTGCTATATACATGCCCATTTATTTCTGACTGATACATATTTTTCTATCATGTCCCATATTTTACTTAACCATTCATTCCCTCAGTACTCTGCACTTAGATTGCTTCTGTCTCTGTTTTACTGTCATAAGCAACATTACAAAGAATATATCCTTTCTTCAGAGGACTAGAAGAGTTTTTCTGGGATGTATGCCCAAAAATTGACTTGCTGTATTACTGTGTACAAGCTTACCTATGTTCTGCATACTACTTAAGAGAGGTTAACGGTTATCCTCCCACTACCACTGCATGAAACTCTTTCACCATATCCACATCATCACTGGATTATCTAGCTTTCTATTTTCTGCAAACCTGATGGCGGGTACCCAAAGTGTTTTAATATGCATTTATCTGTTACGGTGAAGTTGGCTATATCTTCATATATCTATCTATTATGATTGGATTTTTCCCTTTTTGGCATTATGTATTTGTATCCTTTTGCCTGTTTATGGTCAGCGTTCTTTATCCTAAGATTTGTACAGTTTTCTTGTATATTTTAGTGGGGTTTTTGTCTGTTTTAGTCTTTTTTAAAAGAAACTTTTTCCTATATTAGGATGTAATTATAGCCAATATTTTTTTCTTTTCTGTAGTTTTACTCTTTATATCTATAGTTTTACTGTTTACTTTTAGATATCTGGGTTATTTTTTTCAAAATAGTAAGAAGTAGGGATCCAAACAAATCTTTCTCCACATATGTAGTCAGCTAATTTTCTCACTACCATTATTAACTGTTATCTTTTCCTCCACTGATACCTGATGCCAGTCTTGTCCTACAGTATGTTTCTGTGTATTCATGGACATTCCTTACCTGTGTTTCACTATTGATCTATTTATCTAATTCTATATAATTAACCCAGTTTTATATGGCTTTATATCTTATTTTGAATATAAAAATCATCCTTTTTTTTCTAACTAACCCTAGCTTCACATTTTTTTCCTTCAAAAATGTTGCTGTACTGTGTATTGCATTTAGTTGTGTGTTTTAATTTTTCTAAGTCTAAAACATCTACACATAGTGTCTTTGCCCCATGACATCTCCTTGTTAAAGAATTTGTAAATTGGTCTGTAGAATGAATTTGCATCTGATGGCTTTTTCACATTTACCTTTTTTTCCTTTGTGCTTTGTGTTTCCTCAAAGCTGGAAATTTGATCAAAAAGCTTGATTCATCTGGGTGTGGTGGCGCACGCCTATAATCCCAGCACTCGGGAGGCTGAGGCAGGCAGATCACTGTGAATTCAAGACTAGCCTGGGCTACATAGTGAGTTCCAAGTCAGTCTCAACTGCATAGTGAGACCCTGTCTCAAAAACCAAAAAAGAAAAAAGCTTGATTCACTTCAGACTTTATATCATTGGCAAGAATATCTCATAGCGATGCACTATAGTTACATGCATACATATCAGTAGAACATTTTTTAAGTGCTCTATCACTGAGCTACAGTGCCCAACCCTTTACATTTTTTTATTAATTTTATTGGTACATTTTAAGTATACAATATGACATTCATCATTGGAAATTTGTACCTTTACATAATATATCTTGGTTATTTTTTTCCTCATTCCCCTGCCCTCCCTTCAAACGCTCTGCACCTCCCTATTTACAAAGACTGTTTCCATTTTTTCCTTTTCTCATTAATATATATTAATTCCATTTTCTTCTTTCCTTTCCCAGCCCCTCCAACTTCCCCTTCTCCTTTGGACCTTTTCTTCCTATTTCACATTATCTGTTATGGTTTTTGAGGCTTACTTACACTTTCAGTTTCTCACCAGAGAAACTATTTGGTATTTACACATGTGTGTCCTATTTATTTCACTTAAGAGTATCACTTCAATGTGCATCCATTTAGCTATAAGTGTCTCTAATTTCTCATTCTTTATGGCTGAGTAGTACTCCATTTTATTTTCTAAAATCACATTTTCTTTATCCAGTCTCTGGTTGACGGGCAGTTGGGCTGTTTCCAAGTTTTAGCTATTACAAACTGTGCTGCTATGAACATGGATGCACATATATTGCTGTGGTATGATTCTTTTAATTCTTTTGGGAAGATAGCCAGTAGGGGAACAGCTGGGTGAATGGGACCTAGTTCTGTTGAGCAATATGCAGTGACAGTAAGATTGGTTACTTGGTTATGGTTGTAACTGCCAGAGTTTCTCCATTATTGTTATCCCTGTGACTAACAAGAAATAATACCTGGGACAGAAACTTTGACTCCATGTGAATATTCATTTCATCAGCTTTTTACCTCATACTACTAACATTTGTTGATGATCTTTACATTTTTTATTTAAGAGTTGTAAAGTTGCTTTTGTTATTCCACCATTCCTTCTACATTTATTGGCTGAGGTTCTGTGAAGAAGACATTGCTTTCAATAACTGTCTACTCCATACCCTAAATACATTGCCTATTAGAAAAGTGGAGAATTATGTTTCAAACTAACTGCTGATGTCATTCTAGGGGGTGGCATATGAGCTTTTACATGTTTTGAAAGATAGATTAGCTATTATCTTAGTTAGGATTTTGGTATATATGTAAGTAAAATATGCCTAATATTTGCTCATAGCCGTGTTCACTAGTCATTATGGTTATTGTTTTAAAACAAATTGGTAACTTTCCCCTTGCTATTTTCTAGAACAGTTTTTTTTTTAAACTTGATAGAATTGAACCACAAATCTACCTCAGAATATGACTTTTTTTTTCTTCAGGACACAGGGAGCAGGGGTTATATATCATTTTACAATTTTTAATGGGTTTAGTTTACTCATATTTTTCTATTTCTTATATCAACCACCTGCCCACAATAAACAACATTTAATATCTCTCATCTCTCATGGTTTCTGCCAGTCAGGAATTTGGTAGCAGCTTAGCTGAGTGTTTCTAGTTCAGGATAATGGAAAATTATCCATTTCACCTAAATTTTCAGTTTTATTGCATAGAGCTATTCAGAAGTCCTTTTCATTTAAAATTTTCACTATATCTAGGATTATTTTCCCTTTTCCATTTAATACTTTTCTACTTATACTTTTTTCCCTCCATACTGGGGAGAAAACCCAAGGCCTTGTGCATATTAGGCAGGCAAGCTGTCAGCCAGAGCTATAGTCATCTGAAGGCTGGGCGGAACTGGAGGTCTTGGTTCGAAGATGTCTCATTCCCCTGGCTGGCAAGTTAGTGTTGGTTTTTAGTGGGAGGGCTGATTTCCTATCCATATGGGCCATGCCATAGATCTGCTTTGTATCTTTGCCCCATGCTTTCTCAGAGTGAGCAGTATGAGGAAGAAGGTCATTTAAAAACTGATCCCTTTTATCACTTAACCTTGGAAGTCTCAAAGCATCACTTCTACTGCATTCTTTTTCTTGGAAGACAGTCACTGAGTCCAGCACACAGTCACAAAGAATTTCAGGTATTCCTGAAATCACCAAAATATTTTTACAAACTCATAGTTCTGTTCATGTTTTTAGATCACCTCTTGCTTTTTCCCCTTTTTAATGCATAAATCTGATGTTGACATTCATAAATTTTCTAATGTAAAAGCACACTTACATTCTGGAAGAAACCTAACTTGAT